AAATCCAGACAGTGGAAGAGAAAAAAAAAAAAAACACCAACTGCCAAAAACTTTTAATAATCAAGAAACAAAAGCAAGAAGTCCAAAGGTCAGCCAAAAAATATAATAAACCCAACTATAAAAAAGAGAGTAAAGTAAAAATATAGGCGAATAAAAAATAAATATCTGGTTATTGAAATGCAATCAAAAACAATAAGTAGAAGAAAAAAGAGTAATTATCCCAAATACAAAATATTAAATGTCAAGAAATGCAAAATCCAAAAAAGAAAAAAAGAAAAAAGAAAGAAAAATATAATATCCAAATTTTAGCTTTTCCACATTTCAGGTTTTAAACAGAAAAAAATAGAGGAAAGGAAGAGAAAAGATCCAAAAATTTGCACTCCAGATAGTCAGCAAAAATAATATACCAGCAGATAATGTACAGACAGAAAAAAACAATTCCAACAAAGTAGTCTTTGAACTATTCAGTTGTTAATCTTTTTTCTTCTTCCCCTTCTCCTCTTTTACTCCCACTAAATCATAAAACAGTTTATCTCAAATGTTACTTAAGGTCATTCTTTGTTCATTCCACATTCCAAAAAAAGAAAAAAAGGATTTTTTTCACCACTAGATGGCATTGTATACCTTCACAATTTATTTTCACTGATCTAAAGTCTATTCGTTCTGACTTGGACTTTTCCGGTTTCTAATTTAAAGTCCAAAATTCATCCGTATTTCAATCTAAATTCACTCTGCCCAATCTGCTTTCCATTTATTATTCGAAATCAGTTCATATTCTTTGAGAGAATTAATTTTTATACACGGCCAACTCTTGTGTCGCCGCTAATCCAGAAAAGGGGAGGTAGCCAAATATCCACTTCCTTCCCTTTCACTCTTGCCATTTCTTTTTGTTCTAATTAATTTTTTTTTACAGTTCAGGTTATCTCTTAAAAAGTAGAAGTTTTATTTCCAAGACAGCAATTCCCTTCTCACCCAAATGTTATGTCTTGTTTCCTCTTTCTTCCCTTCACTCGTGACTGCTCCGGTTTTGTGACAGCTCTCAATGGCTGTCTTCCCAGCTGTAGAGTCGAAGGCTCTTCGCTGGTGCTACAGGGAATTTGTGGATTCCCTGTCCACACCAGCCTGTGCCCCCTTTCTTCACCGACCCTACGGATCAGCTATGGTCCCCTATGGACCCCCAAAACAGCTGAGATATCGGCACTCACTCCAGAGCCCTACACTAATCTACAGACTAGGGGGTTCATTTTGCCCACGGCTGATCTTTTGTCACTGATTAGCCAAAAGCTAGGCAGTGGGGAGAATGCCCTGTGCCAGAGCTGCTATTGGCACAGTAAAGATACCCTGTTTCCCCGAAAATAAGACATCCCCTGATAATAAGCCCAATCGGGCTTTTGAGCACATGCACTAAAATACCCCCCCCCCAAAAAATAAGCCCTCACCAAAAATATTTAAACTCATGTGCAGCCGGTCCCTGCCATTTTCTCCAGTTAGGGTTAGGGAGACAGAGCTGGAAATCAGGTAAGATGGCAAGAGGAGCCCTGTCTTGCTCCATGTGCCCCAAAATAATAAGAACTCCCCGAAAATAAGGCCAAGCCCTTTTTTCGGGGTTCAAAAACATATAAGATAGGGTCTTGTTTTCAGGGAAACATGGTACAACCATGACTACCCCTTCCCTGCCAATCCAGCTGTTTTAACTGTTGTTTTCTAAGTCCCCTCTCAGCAATCCCATCTCTTCATCGATTCCCCTCATCCCAGTTTGTCAAATGCTGACTGACCTTTACAAGCCATGCAGAATAGCCAGTGTGGCCCTGACTTTCCAAGTATAACTGCAATGTGCTTCCAGATTTTCAAGAGGTATTCTCTCTGACTGAGATTAAAGAAAGTTTGGTGTGTGTGTGTGTGCGCGTGCATGCATATGTACCTATCCAAAGAACAAGAGTGACAGGCCCACTGACAATACATGAATCCTCTAAGGCATTCAAAACTGATCACACCAGTGTTAATTCAGCACATTAGATTTCCCACCCATGTGGAAAACATGTGGAAACAGCCAGATTTGGAAGAATTTACAGGATAAAGAATATTCAGAATGCAATGGTAATAATGCAAATAGCCAGTATTTAATTGAAAAGTGCACACATTTGAATGACAGAGATAGTGAATAGGGCAGTGATGGCGAACCTTTTTGGCATTGCGTGCCAAAAGTCTAAGCACATGTGTGGTGTCGCGCTCCTGCGTGCCGGAACCCATATTGCAATGCGCGCCCCCATTTACACCTGTGCACGACAACCCCCACGCTCCCTCTGCACATGCGCCCGCACTGTGCATGCATGCCCCCCCAATGCGCCTCCCCCACTTTTTCTAAGTGGGCCGGCATACCTCTTACCAGAGGACAACTAGGTATCGGCCCGTTCCCTGGTGAGACAGCTGTTCCCCGCCCGGCGCATGGCACTGCCAAGATGGCTTGGCTGATGATCAGGCAACTCCAAAGTTTCCTGCTAAACTTTAGTTCTCTTGCCCGTCTTCTTTCCCTGTTTAAAAGAGCCGTGCTTGTAGGGGGGAGAGATCTGACTAAAGAGCTGTGCTTTAGCTGTGCTAAAGAGCTGCCTCCTGCCTTCCACGGTCTCCAAAGTTCCTCCCTCATGGAATCCTAGCTTTTTCCTGCCTTCCACGATCTCCAAAGTTCCTCTCCCATGGAATCCTAGTTTTTTCCTGCCCTCCACGATCTCCAAAGTTCCTCCCCCATGGAATCCTAGCTTTTTCCTGCCTTCCACGATCTCCAAAGTTTCTCCCCCATGGAATCCTAGCTTTTTCCTCCCTTCCACGATCTCCAAAGTTCCTCCCCCATGGAATCCTAGCTTTTTCCTGCCTTCCACAATCTCCAAAGTTCCTCCACCATGGAATCCTAGCTTTTTCCTGCCTTCCACAATCTCCAAAGTTCCTCCCCACTCAAATCCTAGCTTTTTCCTGCCTTCCACGATCTCCAAAATTCCTCCCCCATGGAATCCTAGCTTTTTCCTGCCTTCCACGATCTCCAAAGTTCCTCCCCCATGGAATCCTAGCTTTTTCCTGCCTTCCACGATCTCTAAAGTTCCTCTCCCATGGAATCCTAGTTTTTTCCTGCCCTCCACGATCTCCAAAGTTCCTCCCCCATGGAATCCTAGCTTTTTCCTGCCTTCCACGATCTCCAAAGTTCCTCCCCCATGGAATCCTAGCTTTTCCTGCCTTCCACGATCTCCAAAGTTCCTCCCCCATGGAATCCTAGCTTTTTCTTGCCTTCCACGATCTCCAAAGTTCCTCCCCAATCAAATCCTAGCTTTTTCCTGCCTTCCACGATCTCCAAAGTTCCTCCCTCATGGAATCCTAGCTTTTTCCTGCCTTCCACGATCTCCAAAGTTCCTCTCCCATGGAATCCTAGTTTTTTCCTGCCCTCCACGATCTCCAAAGTTCCTCCCCCATGGAATCCTAGCTTTTTCCTGCCTTCCACGATCTCCAAAGTTTCTCCCCCATGGAATCCTAGCTTTTTCCTCCCTTCCACGATCTCCAAAGTTCCTCCCCCATGGAATCCTAGCTTTTTCCTGCCTTCCACAATCTCCAAAGTTCCTCCACCATGGAATCCTAGCTTTTCCTGCCTTCCACAATCTCCAAAGTTCCTCCCCACTCAAATCCTAGCTTTTTCCTGCCTTCCACGATCTCCAAAATTCCTCCCCCATGGAATCCTAGCTTTTTCCTGCCTTCCACGATCTCCAAAGTTCCTCCCCCATGGAATCCTAGCTTTTTCCTGCCTTCCACGATCTCTAAAGTTCCTCTCCCATGGAATCCTAGTTTTTTCCTGCCCTCCACGATCTCCAAAGTTCCTCCCCCATGGAATCCTAGCTTTTTCCTGCCTTCCACGATCTCCAAAGTTCCTCCCCCATGGAATCCTAGCTTTTTCCTGCCTTCCACGATCTCCAAAGTTCCTCCCCCATGGAATCCTAGCTTTTTCTTGCCTTCCACGATCTCCAAAGTTCCTCCCCAATCAAATCCTAGCTTTTTCCTGCCTTCCACGATCTCCAAAGTTCCTCCCCCATGGAATTCTAGCTTTCTCTTACCTTCCACAATCTCCAAAGTTCCTCCCCCATGGAATCCTAGCTTTTTTCTGCCCTCCACGATCTCCAAAGTTCCTCCCCCATGGAATCCTAGCTTTTTCCTGCCTTCCACGATCTCCAAAGTTCCTCCCCCATGGAATCCTAGCTTTTTCTTGCCTTCCACGATCTCCAAAGTTCCTCCCCAATCAAATCCTAGCTTTCTCTTGCCTTCCACGATCTCCAAAGTTCCTCCCCCATGGAATTCTAGCTTTCTCTTGCCTTCCACGATCTCCAAAGTTCCTCCCCCATGGAATCCTAGCTTTTTCCTGCCCTCCACGATCTCCAAAGTTCCTCCCCCATGGAATCCTAGCTTTCTCTTGCCTTCCACGATCTCCAAAGTTCCTCCCCAATCAAATCCTAGCTTTTTCCTGCCTTCCACGATCTCCAAAGTTCCTCCCCCATGGAATTCTAGCTTTTTCATGCCTTCCACAATCTTCAAAGTTCCTCCCCCATGGAATCCTAGCTTTCTCCTGCCTTCCCTGATCTCCAAAGTTCCTCCCCCACCGAATCCTAGCTTTTTCCTACCTTCCACGATCTCCAAAGTTCCTCCCCCAATTGAGTTCCTCCTGCCTTCCGTGCCTCCTCAGATCTTTGCAGTTTCTCCCATCACATGCTAGCTTTCTCCTGGTTTCCTGCCACGGAGAGGCATCTGCAGAGGGTAGAACCTGCAGAGATCGGGGAAGGGCCTGCCTCCGTTCATGCACGGCAGAGACCAGAAGACCAGCTGGCCGATTGGAGGTGCGCGCATGTGCGGTGGACCTGGGCTGGCACGCGTGCCATAGGTTCGCCATCACGGGAATAGGGTAACCCAATCTCTCTTTGAGATGTTTCAAAGATCTATAAACAAGATGGAATAGTATTGCCATCACTTACCCGGATGCGTCTCATAGCAGTCACAATCTCTACCCTGCTGTTTGGCCGAGGTACATCTAAGCTGCCAATATACTGGAGGAGGAGAAAGAATAGAAGGGTTAGAGCAGAATATCAGATTACCAAAGTATTCTAAACAGGTCTGGATGGCTAAAATTTGTTTGGCAAGAAAATATTTATTGCTACTCCTCTTTGTACCCAGGAAATACATAAACCAGTTTTCTCTAACCTAGTATCCTCCAGACATATGCATTTGTAGAATGAAGGTGGGGACAAGAGGATGCATACTGCAAACCTTCAAAGTTGTATAATTGTACCTGAAATCTGGATACAAGTATGTAAGGATAGGGTTTGTACAGTGATACAACTATGCACAGGTGGCTTGCTTCTGTATTGAGTATTGAGCAGGAGCGGTGACTGGAATGGAGTTTTGAAGCCAGGTGAGTGACAGCCAATCCATAGGCAAAATAACAATAAAAAGACTTTTAACTCTGAAAAAAAAACCCAGCGTAAAAACAGTGGCTAACGGGCATGGGGGCAAGAAAAGAGGAGGTCTGAAGTGGAATTTAAAGGGATAAACACACAAAAGGAAATTGACTTTTGAATAAAATTATTTGGAGATCTTTAAAAACTAGAAGAAATAACCCCAAAATTGGCAAAAGGATTGGAAAGAAAATAAGTAGATCCGTTTTTTTGAATGCTAAGAAAAACAAAAGAGAAATTGAAACAAGCCCTGTAATAGAAGTGCTGTACAAACAAAAGAAAAAAAAGAGGGGAAAAGTATTGTTTAATTTGGACTGGACTGGACTGATTTGGCATTTTCAAAGTTAAAAAGAAGAAAAGAAAAGTTAGTAAAGACTGTTAACGTGGATTGAAACAAAATGGATACTTTGTCAGATTACTGATAGAAATTGTGGATTGTAGAGAGACATCTTCAGGAGAAAAAGAACATTGCAATTTGGAACTTTTGTTTTGGAAAATTCTGAACTTTATTAGAGATAACAGTTGTGAGAACTTTTGGGGAGGATTTCTTTGCCTGCAAGCAGCTTGACTTTGGGGAGGAAAAAGGAACACAATGAGACTTTTAAAATTGGAATAAGACTAACCCAGAAAGAATAAAATGGCACAGGAAATTAGAGAAATGATGAAAATGATGTACTCGTCATGGAAAACGGAAATAAGGGAAATAATCACAATGCTACATGGAGAATTGAAACCTGAGGACCCAAAAATTGAGATACAGCATGCTCAAGCTGACAAGGAAATAAAGACGGGAGAAGCAAGACACAGAGATTGAAAATAAAGAAGATAAAGACAATGAGACTAACTATGGAAAATTAATTGAATATGTGGATAGTAACAATAAAAAGGAAGCTTTTAGAGATTACATTGGGGTTAACAATGGAAAAACAGGGTGGAAAGAGACAAAGAAGGAAAAAAAGGTGGAATAGAAAGAATACAAAAAATTTAAACGATTACATTGGGATTAACAGTGAAAAGATAAAAAAGAGTGGAAAAGCGTGAAAACAACAGGAAAAACGAGGCAAAATAGAAGAGTCCAGGACTTTGAAATACAGAATGATTACACTGGGATAAACAGTGGGGAAATAAGAAAAAGAGAAAAGAGATGGGAAACAATGGGAAATATAGGGCAAAACAGGAGAGTTCAAGATTTTAAAGCTCAAAAGAAAAAAAGGGAAAAGAAAAAGGCCAGAATAAAAATAAAAAGGGAGAAAAGAAGAAAGAAATGAAAGAGGAATATGCTATATATACTTAGGATTGAAATATGAATTGTAGCAAGAAACAATGGAAAATCATATGACTGTAAAAATGAATTGAATAATAATTGGAATATTTTTATTTGTACTTTTGAAACTTAGGTAATGATAAATTTTTAGAAATATGAATAAGTTTAAATTGTAACAATTGAAATACTTTTAACGGTATATGGTGGGGAAAGTAGAAATGACTAAGTTGTGGTTTGGAGAAATATATGGGGAAAACTATATGATTAGAGGATAACAGAACATTTTTAAATTTAATTAGGGAAATTGTAATAATTGAAATATTTTTAATTGTATATTGTGGTGAAAGCAGAAATGAGTAAGTTGTGGTTTGAAGGAATATATGGGAGAAACTATTTGGTTTATGATCATGTAAAGAGAAAAGACGGTTACATAACTAATTGATTTTTTAAGAAGTTGGATTGCATGAAAATGGAAATAATTGGAATATTCATGTTCATATTTTTGGAATTTATATAAAGAAATATATGGGGAAAGATATTTGGTTTATGATTAATATCCAAAGAAAAAAAATAGTCATATAACTGATTTACACCAAAATGTTGGATTGTATTACTTAAGGAAATGTATGTTATAAAATAATTGGGTTTATTATTCCTATAAGAAATGAATGATTGTAACACCACATAATTAATTTGATGATGGATATAAAAATAGATGACAATGGGAAATATTAATAATCATAATAATGAATACTAGGAATTATATTAGGTGAGATTTTAAATTTGAGGGGTACAATATAGTATAGAAGAGAAAAAATGAAATTTGATTAAGATTAGAGGTGAGAATGAAGGTAATACTGGTTTTAAAAAAATAGAAGAGAATAAATATTATGGCAAAAAGGAAGTATAGAAATTGTTATTTTAGTTGAAATGACTAAAAACTCTTTAAATTTGTGAATCAGCCAAATATTCTGTTCAGAAAAAATACATTGTATGTTTGTATGTGTGTTTGTGTAAAAAATAAAAAAAACTTTTTTTTTTAAAAAAAGGAAGACTGCTATCATGTATCCCCTTCATTAAGCTAAACATATCTAGTTCCTTTAGCTGTTCTTCATACAATTTCGTCTCCAGAGCCCTTATCATTTTTTGTTGCTCTTCTCTGCATTCTCTAGGTTCTCAGCATATTTTTTTATTTTGTGATATCCAAAACTGGAGGTAGTATTCCAAATATGGACTCACTAGTGCAGTATGGAGCAGTGCTATCACTTCTTTAATCTTGATACAATTCCTCAAATTGATTCAGCCTCAAATTGGATTGACTTTTTTGGGGGGCGGTTCAGCATATTACTGACTCATATACTTAGGTGATGGTATACTAGAACACCTAGATCCTTGTCATAGGCACTACTGTTGAGTCAGGTACTACCTATTCTAAACCTGTGCATTTGGTCTCAACTGTCCGACTAGCGAACCCAGGAAAAGTAGGCACTTTCAGGCATTTTAAAATACCAAAATTAAAACTTTATTGGATATACCATTTCGGCACTGAAGAATTAAAACCAACTCTGAGGTTTTTCCATGCAATGCTACATAGTTAAACATTGGTTTCCCTTCTTCCCACCTGTTAGGAAATGGGTATTGCCTAATTGGAAATATATAAGCCAACATTGTATGTTTGTATTATGTGAATGTATTATGTAGCTTTAAGAACTGTGCTGAGTCATTGTGCATCCTGATTGGATGGGCTCTGTAGCCAATGTATTTAAGGAGAGCTAAAGTATGGTTAGATGGGAACACTACATCATTTTTATCTGCTGCTATGCTGTAACACTTTTTGATCTCTATGGTCAACTGTTTGATCATGATTACTGCTTTCTGATATTTATTGAACTGTTTTTATATTGTTCCTGATTGTTCTGTGTATTTTTCTACAAACTGGTAAGAAGATTTTATATCCCTGGATTGATCTTATATTGCACTTTATATGGCCAAGACTTGGATTGTTAAAGGACTATGATTTTGCTTTTCCTTAAAAGTAAAATACTATAAAACCCAGTTTGTCTGTATGTTATTCACAATTACTCTCAAAACCGTTTCCGTGCATAAAACTCTAACGGTACTCTGCTTTATAAGCCACAACTTCTGGTGCAACTCAACAATATCCTTAACATTGGTTATGGGTCCAGAGCCGCCTAGAGTTACCCAGAAACATCTAGAGCACTGAGAGTTGATGTGAATGATACAGTAATTTATTCAGACAGCTGTGTTTGTTATTAAGTATCCAAGTGAAGATGGCACAAGATCAGTCATCCAGTATATCCATGGTAACCCGGTTGGACGGAACAAACTATGTTTCCTGGTCCATGAAATGCAACCTGCTTTTGTGTAGGGAAGGACTATGGGACATAGTTAATAATCCACCGGATGTAACTGCATGGAATCCAGATAATGATGAAGATGATAAGAAATTAGCCAAGTTTACTCAGGATAACGAATGAGCTCTTTGCATAATTGGACTGACACTGAGTGACCAGCAGCTAGTTCATATTCGTGGTGAAGATTCTGCTGCTAGGTGTTGGAACAATTTGAAGAGAATATATGTTCGGGATAGTGTGGGTGCTCATATACATTTTACACGCAAACTGTTTAAAACCCATCTTCTTAAAGGAGGAGATATGTTAGCTCATTTGGAGTTTATGACAAGAATTTTTCAAGAGCTACATGAGAAGGAACTTATTTTTTCAGAATTGCAGCAGGTTTACATTATCCTTTCTTCGTTGGATGAAAGTTACGATGATTATGTTTCTTCATTGGAGGTTTTGATCAGAGACGAACTAACATTGACTGGCATAACCAGAAGATTGTTGGAAGACTCCAGAAGAAGGAAAGACAGAGAACAATTAAGAGAGAGACAACCACAGGAAGAAAAACTGTATTCAACTGCTTATATTGTAAAAAGATGTTTTTCTTGTGGGGCTAAGGGGCATATAGCTAAATACTGTACTAAGGGAAAGAAAATGACTGTTGGTGATCAAAAGAGAACCAAAAAGAATGCTAATTTAGCTATATCTAGTTCTACAAATGTTAACAAAGATTTATGGGTAGTTGATAGTGGTGCATCACAATCCATCACTAGAAATAGAGAAAGGTTTGTTAAACTGAATGATAGCAAACAACATGTTACGTTAGCCAATGGTTGGAGAATGAAAGTAGCTGGGGAAGGTATTGCACATTGTTCATTTATTACTGAACAATTACCAATGTTGTATATACCTAGACTGAAATTCAACTTGTTATCTGTTAAATCATTAGTACAGGTTGGATTTGT